GCTGTTGTGGGGATTTTTCCTGGTAGGTGGAAGCACTGCTGCAAGGAACTGATGGAGGAGACAGACAGTCAATGCCCAGGGCTTGCTGGCCTGAGGAACCTGGGCAACACGTGCTACATGAACTCCATTTTGCAGTGCTTGTGCAATTTGCCACCACTCGTGGAGTATTTCATCTCAGGAAAGTACAAAACAGCCCTACACAAGTAAGTTGGTTTTTTTCACACTACTGCATTGGCATTGCTGTTTCCCTTCCAAAAGATACATGTTGCCATGAGAGAGTCTGAGCAACCACCCAGGCAGCTCTGGTCAAATGAGCCACAAGCTGGTTTCCTTCCCCTTCCTCTGAGTTGTTTCCTTGCTGGGTAACAAGCATTATACTTTTTTTTTTTTTTTGGTTACTTCGATGGCAATACCAGTTACTGTAATTGCTGTCTTGATGACAATTCCTACTGCTTTCTAGTACTTGTAGAGTCCCTCAAACCAAATGGCAGCCTCTCAGAGCTGTGCTGCACCTGCCTGTATTTTCTAAGTTTATGTATTATGGTCCCATTTGAAGGCAGAGCCACCATCGTTTTATACTTTACCTGAAACTTTTATGTTTTTCCAAGGGAGAATGGTGAGACTGCGACTGCCTTTGGCTCTTTGATGTCTGATATGTGGCTGGGAAAGTTTGACTACATTTCCCCAGAGGATTTTTTTTTAGTCCTGGGGAAGCGGTATCGAACTTTTAGGAAGAGAACTCAGCAGGATGCACAGGAGTTTCTGATCTGTGTGCTGAATGAACTCCACGAGGCTCTCAAGAAGGTAAGAGCCCAGTTGTGTTTTTTGGGGGACCAAAACTGTTTTCACTTTGCAATTCATGCCTTAGCATTCTGTGTAGTAACTGCCTGTCCTCCTCTTCCAAACCACATGGTGTGGCTCCTAAGACTTGTCATTTTCTTCCTTTGTTTCATACCCACATACACAATAATTTGTTTGCTCCTTGTCTAATGCTACATAAAATTGCAGCCCTCATCTAAATTATAATGCTGTCCATAGCTCTGTTATTCCCCCCCTCTCCCTTCCTTCCTCCCTTAGCATTCTTCCTCTTTTTCACCTGCCTGGAATCTTCACATCTGTTATGCCCCTAGTTCTGCCTTTTTCTTCTTTGGATCTACTGGTAAGGAGCAATTAAATCTCTCCCATTTAACATCCAGAATATTATAATTATTTTTGTTTTGTTTCTCTTGGAAAAAGAACTTAGCTTACTCTGGATGTATGAAACATGAAGTCAAGTAGTAACATTCTAGAGCCAAGTCCTGTGACAAAACTAACTACAAGCCTGCACAGGCAGTGGGGCAGTGACCCCTGAATCCCAGTGAAGGCACTTCTGAAACAGTCAAACAGTTGATTACCTGCATTTTGTTAACTTTGTTTTTCCTTCTGTCTAGTCAAGCACAAGATGCATAACAGGTATAAAGGCAAGCAGAGGCAGTGTTAATGAAGCCTCTATTATCACTCAGTTATTTGAGGGACAACTCAGTTATGATATCACATGCCTGGAATGCAAGACCACCACCGACAGACCTGAGAGCTTCACGGTTCTGTCCCTGCCCATCCCTTCCAAGAGCTCATGTTCTCTGCAGGTACAACTGCCAGGAATTCC